TACTTATAAATTTCATACCTGTTAAATTTTAGGGAAAGTTTATTGTTATTTTAGATAAAAGTAAATATGATTAGCAGTTCCATGGTTTTTTCCCACACACAATTAAGGGAAATTTTCACAATAGGTGATAAGGACGACTTGGTGATACTGGCAGTAATAACAGTTAACTTCTACTGAGGATATACTGTGTCCAGGCACTATCCAATTTAAGAATTGTCTGAGATTAGATACTTATCACTTTATCTCCAGTTCATATATATGGAAGCTGTGCACAGAGAAGTTAAGCACCTTATCCAAGATCACACAGAAAGTAAAGCCAGAGCTAAGATTTAATTGCAGGTGATTTAGCTCCAGAACTAGCACTTTTAATCATTAGGTATTATTACATGCTGCTTGTAGAAGATATGAAGACTTAAAAAATTCGGTAAATGGAAGAGAAGGAGGTAACAACATGAATAATGAGTGAGGCGGAAGATAGACGTACTGGCCTTAGAGTAAGCGTTAAAAAACAGTCTAAGAGAAGTTGTAAGGGAAGAGATTTAAGGAAATCATATAGAGAACATTAAAACCATCCGTATGATGTCCCGTAAATAATTTCAGCACCAACAAGTGGAAAGACAAATGAAAGATACAGAAATACACTCAGACTGTAATATATGAAAAAGAAATTTAGAATACAGTTTTTAAAAATTAGGTAAATCATTTAGATTCAATAATGACTAATAGTGAAAGAGAGTAGGAAAATTAGGTTAACGGAATTGTAGGACTAATTAGAATTGTCAGGCTGAAAGCTGATAAATGACAATAAGGGAGCTGTGTGAAGAGTGTATCAGCCAAGGTTCCAGCAGAAAATTAAGCCCTACAGGAAATAAATGATTTAAATGACTCTTTTCTCATTTCTCTCAAGGGTGATTTGTGGTTAGTACAATTCTTGATGCATCTCTGGGAAGTTAATTCGTTATGTGCAGTGGATGCCTCAAGGCATTAAGATTCTCTCTGGGAACTTGTGTTGAGGACTAGTTGTTAGGATTGGAAGTTAAGGAAGTACATTCAAGATGCATAGCAGAAACCTTGAGAGAATTTTATGACAGTTTTATATAGGGGATAAAAGAAAGTTTTAGGGACCAAGGGAAGGTATGAGAATTAAACGTGGTCAATGTTCATTTATATTACAGGTTAATTTTTAGAAATTCATCTGGGTCTTACCTAATCCAATTAAAGATTCCACTTGGGACTATTAAA